GTTGTCATTCATTGAACGTACACTCTGTATTGGCTCTATCTCAGAAGGTACTAATACATGATAATAGCAAAAAAAAAAGGTTAATTTTTGTCCTGAAACACTGTTATCCACCAATATTCCATTCCTGTAGACAGATTACAGCAATTCTTATTGAGTTCCACTGTCTTAGTCCTTTCTGGCCACTTTAACAAACTACCATACATTTGATGCTATATAAATCTTGGGAAATCTGAGATCAAAGTGCCAGTGGGTTTGGTGTCTGGTGAGGGCCTGCCTTCTGGTTCATAGCCAGCTGTCTTCTTTTTTTTTTTCTTTTCCCCCTTCTCCCCAAAGCCCCCCAGTACATAGCTGTATGTTCTAGTTGTGAGTGCCTCTGGTTGTGCTATATGGGACACCACCTCAGCATGGCCTGATGAGCGGTGCCATGTCCATGCCCGGGATCTGAACCGGCAAAACCCCAGGCCGCTGAAGCAGAGTGTGAGACCTGAACCACTCAGCCACTGGGGTGGTCCGACAGCTGTCTTGCTGTGTTCTCACAGGCAGAAGCTATGTGAGCTCTGTGGAATCTCTTTTATAATGATAGTAATCCCATTCATGAGGGCTCTACCTTTATGACCCAGGGACCTCATGACCTCCCAAAGGCTCCACCTCCAAATACCATCACATCAGAGATTAGGTTTCAACATGAATTTGAGGGAGGGACACAAACATTCAGTCTTCAGTGTCCATCTTAAACTTTTATCTCTGAGACCATACCTGTTTAGCTTGTAAGTTATCTTTGTCCTCTACTTGAATTTAAGTTGTAATTATTGTCTTAGAAAATTCTCAACATAATTTCTAAAGCTCTATCAATTGATACAATTTTAGCTCAAACATAGAATGGACTGTGTGTCATGGAATATAGAATTGCTTCTTGATTATTTTTAAGTTGCTTATAAATTAGAAGTAAAATAATGGGTATTCTAAAGCAGTGATTTCTATAGAAAGCATTTCTTAACTTTTTAAGATCATAGACAGTCTTGAGATTCCTGGGAAAATGTAGATACAACAGTTTTTCATAAGTCTTCAAGAAGTTCATGAACCTCTTAAAGACTGTTATGGACCTCGGATTGAAAAGTACCTTTGGGGCTAGCCTCAGTGGCCTAGTGGTTAAGTTCAGTGTGCTCTACTTTGGTGGCCCGGGTTCCGTTCCTGGGTGCAGACCTACATCACTCGTCAGTGGCCATGCTGTAGCAGCGGCTCACATACAAAAAGAGGAAGATTTGCAACAAATTGTTAGCTCAGAGTGAATCTTCTTCAGGGGGAAAAAAAAGTACCTTTGGGTCTATTGTCCACACACATATATTGACTAACTATGTATAGGGCACTTTGTGAAGTATTTCTGCCATAAGAGCACCATGAAATTTTTATGGTTATACATATAAACACCATCCAGGTAGATACTGAATTTTTGTGGAGTGTATTTGTCTAGTAATAAGTAGTAAATTTTCTATTAGCTTTTAGGGATTTTAATTCTGCTGGCCATGATCTAGCTTGACGTTTTGTCTATAATGGTAATGTTTTCCTTTGGCTCTGGAGTTAGATCCGTGTGTTAATAAATCTGCTTTTAAATACCGTTTACAAGTTATTTCTGTCTTATCTTTAACCTCATATACACAGAGCTTCAGGAGGATCTTATATAAAGGCAGTAAAAATGTATACTTCATGGAAGCATTAAGTGGGTAAAAGTAACATTTTGTTTCTCACTTTATTAAATAGCACCAGTAACTCCAGATAGTGGTTATTCATCAGCCCATGCAGAGGCCACCTATGAAGAAGACTGGGAAGTATTTGACCCGTGAGTATTTTTTTCTTTTCCCTCTTGGAGCAGAATGAAAGTACACGTGTGGAAGGGTGGCTGAGTGGTATATTGCAAAGAGCATGTGATCTGTAGGTATTAGTACTTTTATTGAGTTACTGAAATACTAATTTGTATATTTTCAGTTTTATTTACATGTTTTATAAGTTTGGTTTACTAGGTTAAATCAGCATTATTTAATTAAAGATTTAAAGATGAATTTAGTAATATGTTTTATATTAGAAATTTTAAATGTTGAAATTTTCTTAAAATTTGGTTTATAGCTATTATTTTATCAAACACGTTCCACCACTGACAGAAGAACAACTAAATAGGAAACCTGCTCTTCCATTGAAAACAAGAAGCACACCAGAATTCTCCCTAGTTTTAGACCTGGTGAGTATATTATCCGTAGAGGTGGGGAAAATAAAGGCGTTAAATTCCTTTTTTAAAACACTAGCCCAAAATACCTAAAGAATGCAAGTGATGAATAGCCTTACACATTACCTATAAACATCTCTTAGATGTTCTGAAATGTTTTTATTTTAAGCATAGTCTAATGTGAGGGTTCCCAGTTTGCTGGTATCAGGTACCTTTTGAAAATAAATTAGGCTTTTATTTTTTTATATATTTAAGAAATATAAGAATAATTATATATATATAATTTATATGTATATAAGAATAATTATATATATAAGAAATGTATAAATAAAATATATATTTATTTTGTGTATACATTAATTCTTACCCACATACTCCTGAGACCCTTGTGATTACTTTTTTCTTTTTAAATCTTCCAATAAATTCTAATTTTATTTCTTTCCTAGATTTCACCTTTTTTTGGGTCAGGATCATGTTTTCCTAAAGGACCAAATATAATCTGGGTCTCAATGAGTTAACCTTATCCAAGACCATACTCCTTTTCCTATTCTTCTTTTTGCATATTATGTAATAACAATAACTTTTTTCTCCCCTTCTTCTCCCCAAAGCCCCCCAGTATATAGTTGTATATTTTGGTTGTGGGTCCTTCTAGTTGTGGCATGTGGGATGCCACCTCAGCATTAATACCAATAACTTTTTATTAATAGATTCTCAGAAGCAAAATCTCTTAATGCTGACTAATAAAAACCTTTAATATGCTCTCTGGGTGTGATTTAAAAATTTATATTTTAGGGTACCAGAAAAGCTTTGACAACTGAATATCGCATATCTTTTGCTAACCAAATTTAACATATGTTCACTGTATTTATCATGTGCCTGCAATTTCTTGATATTAGCAAAAAATATATATTATATAATATTGGAAAACATTTTATTTAGCCGTGGTTACTGGTACCCTGTATTGGAGATGTGGTTTGGTTCTCATAAAAAATTTATCTTGAGGAAAAGCATATTATTTAAATCTTAACTAGCATATATAGTTCTGTTTTGAGAGTTCAGCACCTTAGCCTTTGCCCAGCCAAAGAGATGTAACAGAGGTATCCAGAAGTCCTAAGTATTTAAGGTATTTATTACAGGATACGAAGGAAGAGAAAGAAAAATTTTGAAACTGATTATGAGAAGTGTCGATTTGATGTGCAAGTTAGTGGAGAAACTGAAAAAGAGATTTTGCTAGATTTTTATGTTAGGAATTGGTGTGGTCATGATAAGTTTGGCCATATAATTTTCAGTCCAATGTGAAGGTAAATAGAGAAGGAAAGAAGAATTGGCTGAGCATAAATGAGAAATTTTACGGAAGTGGATAAAGAATAATGATTAAAATTTAGGTAGGTGGGGCCTGCCCAGTGGTGCAGCGGTTAAGTGCGCACGTTCCGCTTCGGTGGCCCGGGGTTCGCCGGTTCGGGTCCCGGGTGCGGACATGGCACCGCTCATCAAGCCATGCTGTGGTAGGTGTTCCATGTGTAAAGTAGAGGAAGATGGGCATGGATGTTAGCTCAGGGCCAGTCTTCCTCAGCAAAAAGAGGAGGATTGGCAGATGTTAGCTCAGGGCTAATCTTCCTGAAAAAAAAAAAAAATTAGGTAGGTTGTAGATGAAGAAGTAGTAGAATTATTTATGATTCAATTGTAGGAAAGAGAATACCTTTTGAAGATGCTAAGAGAATACCTTGAAATGTGTAGTCTGATATGTTATTAAAAGAAAATGAGGCATATCTAGAGTATTTTTAGCTCTTTGCCTCCCCACAGTTTAGGTTAAAAGAAACACTCCAGCTAATAAGGTGTGGAATCACAAGGTATGAACATTTGTGTTTCATTTTAATTCATCCTAGACACATTGAAAAACTTTGGGGGGTAGTTATTAGCAGCTTTATCTTTTTCTTAAAAAAGTGTCACTACAAATGGAAACCTTGTTTTTTTATCATTCAAAATTTGAGAAATATGAATATCTGCACATATGTTACATTAAATGATTCTCACCTTCTTATCCTCTTAATAGAGAGAAAAGGTTTGGTCATCAAAGATAAGTTGTCATGGACTGCTAATTTAGTTAAACAATGTTTATGTCTATGAAACATATTCAACAGATACTAAAACATCCATTTTCTAAGATAAAATTCTTTATAAAAGGTTTATGGATAAGGAGCTATATGAATAGAATATCTGTGTTTTTTAAATAATTAGACTCTAAACTTCCATTGGCTAATTGAAAAAAAAAAAGCAGAGGGGAGTATATCTGTGGTTTACTTAACAGAAAGTTGGCATCTGCAGAACTCAAAGTAGTGGTTTTTAAACTGGAACGTGCATCCAAATCACCTGAAGGGCTTATTTAAAATGTAGATTGCTAAGCTCCACCCCCTGCTGAGTTTCTGAATTATCAGAAGTGGAACTGGAGAATTTGCATTTCTAACTAGTTCCCAGATGGTGCTGATACTGTTTGCTGGTCCACCTGAAAACCAGTCACTTAGAAAATCCCCTCCCAAATTGCTGTGCCACACATGGTGATGTATGATAAATGTAAAATTCCACATATGAATGGGTGCTTTAATAAATGCTTTTGGTGATCATGAATACATAAAATTATCATTAGAAATTTAATATTTTGTTTCATTCAATATGTGCTTTTCATTTTAAGGATGAAACACTAGTACACTGTAGTCTAAATGAGCTAGAAGATGCAGCACTTACTTTTCCAGTCCTTTTCCAAGATGTCATTTATCAGGTAATTTAAAAAAATTTTTAACTTGATTTTTGGCTTGTTAGATAACATTCTGAACCAAGAAATCTTTCGTATGTTTGTGTATATATTTATTTATTTTTTGGTGAAGTTTAATGTTTTTTTTAATGGATTTCATCTATCTTTTAATGATTTATTAATGCAGAGTAGCATCCTGCTAAATATATACTTAAAACAGCATTAATTTGTTACAAAAAAAATGTGAACTTTTTTTACCCGGTGATCTCTGCTAGTTTCATAATCTGTTTGCCAGCAGGTGGAGGCAGGAGCACTGACATCATAGATCCCTAAGAAGAAATTGCCAGGTTAACACCTGGTGATTGTTTCCCCCCCCAAAATCCAATTAATATAAAGAAAACTCATTGCTTGTTGGTCATTTTTATTTCCTTTTGTAGTAATGTGGTCTGTAGATTGCAGTTTGGTAGATCTACTTTTTATTAATCACAGAATTCCAGGATACTCTTCTAGTTATTGCTTTACCTAGAAAAATTGGGTATAAGCATTTCTCCCTCATCTGTGTTGATGGACAGGTAACAGTGTAAAATAAAAATATCATTTACATTTCACTGTGAATTATGTGTGTTAGCCATAGTCTTTATGTTTGAGATTTTTCTGCCATAAAATTTGAATTAATTAATATATGTGAATACACTTTGAAAATTGCATAGTGCTTTTCTGTGGTGGTGGTTGTTATTTAATTAGCATTACCTTCCTACATACCATAGTTGTTGAAGGATTGAGAAAGGTCAAAATATCTGTTGTTTGTCAGGAGGAAGCCAACCCAAGGATTAACTAAATAAAGCCACAGAACATTTACCATGTGGTTGAGGAAAGGTGTTTATGGTTGTTTATGTGCTCTTAACAGGCAGTCAGAATGTGGGTATGGTTTTCTTGGCACACGATAGTTATCTCTTGGGAATCATAAAATTTCAGAGTTAAATAGAAGTTTGTGGTTCAGGGTCTGCTTTACCTTCTTTACCTTGTAGTGAGTTACAAGAGGGTTTATTTTAGCAGTTATTCTGAGTTTTAGTTTAACCTAGATAGGTATTGTAGGTATGGTAATATCTGAATACTGTGTTCATTTCTTTTTTATGTAAACTGACTTTAGTTCTGATATGTGATCAGAGGAGGAGCAAAATATACATGAAAGTAAAGGATTTTAAGATTTTTGTATTCCTTTTTAACTGGATATTATTTGGTTTATGGTAAATCTTTTTCTTTGTAAGACATTTTATGCCAAAGAGGTCGTTCTTGTTTAGTGTACTTCAAGAACAGGAGTCTTGTGGCAAATATAAGTAGTATAGCAATATCTTAGTTCTCTCTCTTTAGCTTGTTGACCTTGTTTTTAGTTCACAATTACGCTTAAAAACAATGGCTTTCAGGCTTTGAATTTGTAAAGGAAAGCTGTTATTTGAAAAATATAGATGAGATGACTTCTTAAGCTTCTAGATTTGACATTTATTTCTTGCAGATGGTTTTGGTCTGTTTATATAATTTTTAATAGCGAAAGAAACTTGGAAAGTAGATGAATTTGATTCTTTCCATTCATGAGCATTTCTTTTCAGTGTGACCGTAAAATTGAATTTTTTCTTACTGCTTTTACCATTTCTACTTTAATTCTCTTCCTTATAAAGTGCTTATTATTTTCATGTGGATCTGGATAGTTGTCTTATTTTGAATAAAAGGCTTCTAGCAGTGCATATGACTAATACTTATTAAAATTTTATATGTACTGCATCTACCTCTGGAATTCAAAGAACTTTTCCTATATATTCTGAATTACACTTTCTGAACCTGAAAAATAAATTATGTAGCCTAAATGAGGAGCAATGAGCAGGAAGTTTGGATCTTACAAGTTATAGAGATGATTGTATTTTAATATTATGATTTAGTTACTACATCGTGTGTAGAGTTTAGTTTCTCTTCAGTAAATTTTTGAGGATGTCCATAGTTAACACTGGGTACAGTCCCTTGGATTTCTTGTTTTGGCATAGCCATTCTGTCTGCTTTTTTAAAAATAACTTTGAAGAAACCTTGGGTTAGGGTTCCCCCAGTTTCAGACCAGCAAGCTCCCTTTAAACAGGGAATGATGTCTTTTAAACTTTCAGTGGTGTTGTCTCCATCTACTGGCAAAGAAGAAATATACACAAAGGTCTGAGATGATCTAAGAGATTTTGGAGAAACCACATTATTAGGTAAGATGTAACTTACATATTTAACCACTACAATATAATGTGGCCCACTTTAAAGGTAGAATCCTGTAAAATACTGTATATACTCTTTTAAACAATAGTTTATTGAGTTGAAACTCACAACATAAAATTAACCATTTTTAAGTGAACAATTCTATGCACTTGTCTATGTACTTTTGAACATGTCCGTTCCATGGCATTTATGTATATACTCTTAAAAATAAAATGGTAATCTTAAGATAGGATCAAATTCTTCATCTGAATCAAAGCCAGATAAAATACCCTCTTGGGACTTTTTTTACTTTTGCTTTCTTTTTGTGATAAGGTTTTTATGGTTGACCTATACCTACTTTTAATTCTACTTGTTATTTATCTTTCTTTCAAAACAATTTAAAGTGTAAATTGTTTTATATCTATATTAATAATCGTCTATATCAGGGGTTGGCAAACTTTTTCCTGTAAAAGGTCAGTTGTTAATATTTTAGGTTTTGCAGTCTCTGTTGCAAACTACTTTTCTGCCATTGTAGCATGAAAGCAGTCATAGTACATAATCGAATAAGTGTGGCTGTCTCTTGATAAAACTTTACTTACAAAAATAAGTGACGGTCTGAATTTGGCCCATAGGCCGTAGTTTGCTGACCCTTGGTCTAGTAATTGTGAGAGTATATACAGTAAATTTACATATTCAGATTCTAAGTGGAAGTAAGTAATCAATTGTTCATCAAAATTCTTGTTAATATATAGAGAAATTTTAAATTAGTCCACTGTAATCTGGTTGTGGGCTTTCTTAGTTTTTTTCAGATGAAAATTTGAGGGAAATTTAAGGTGGCCACCACTCACATTTAAAGATTGCCTGACTTCATGTATATATACTCTTCTTTTGATTGATAAGTAGGACTCAGCTTAGTTAATGCAAGCTTTAGAATTTATGAGCAGGTAGATTATTCAACCTTTAATATGGTACCTTGAGTGTATTTAAATTCCATTTTTCTAGGGGATAAAAAAACCTAAAAGATCCAACTCAAGTTAAAATTTAATGTACGTTACTACTGACACCATATGGAGAAAAAGTCATTTGAAAGAAGAACTGAGTTTTTAAATTGAGAGTATGGCACTCACAAAGGCAAAGTATATAGATTTTTATTTGAATGGGTCTTTTTTTTCCCCTTAAATTGGCAGTTTTTCCATAAATTGTTTTACACTTAGTTATTGGGAAATGCATTTATTCATAGAATGGTACAAATGCATTTGATATCTAGAAAAACAAGTGCATGATAAGTTCCAATGCACATGTTTAATCTTTATATTTAGCTTATATTGACACATTGTCAGGAAATCCATCTCGTGGTGTTACTCAGTTAAGAGGTCTCCACTGTATTTAGTTTCTGTTCCTGCAGATCCACCAATTCAAGACTCTAGGTCATCTCACTCCCTCTTCCATCCAGAAGATGACTGCTATCCACAAGCAGGACTGAATCAAAAGACAGATTTTTCACTTAGCTCTTGAGCTGAACCACCTCCTCAATGACCTTCCTCTATCTCCATCAAGAACTGGAGCTCAGTTTTTTGAAGATGTAATAGCGCTACTCAGCCCAAACGTGGCTAATTGAAGACAAAAAGAAGATGCCTCATATGTTTCACCACAGTGCAGCCAAACGTAACTGTGTTGTCCAACTCCTCATTCTGTAAAGTATGGCAGGGGCATCTGATTTTTGACTCTGTTCACCAATAAGACTTTAGCCAGTCAGTGGCTTTCTGAAGATAAGTAAAATCAACAAACTTTGGGTCAGCTGTCCTGAAATCAGATTGTGGTAAGCACTCAAGGAGAGATAGGATCCTATAGGGAGCTACTTGCTAAAGGATGCTTTTGTTTTATTAGTAAAGGTTGCTCTTACGGGAAAAGTTGGGGGGAGAAGGTGGGTGGGACACCCCATGATTAGCAAAGCTCAGCCTCTTCCCCAATATTATAGTTTGTTTGTTTTCTTGGGAACCTTACAGCCTAGGATAATTTTCATAAGGATTTCAAATATTTTATATCAGAGAACAAGAGAAGCAGAGAGTAAGCGGCTTCTTTCTCCTCTCTACAGTTTTTCCTAGAAAATTCAGCATTATTTTTGCTTCCTGAAGAAAAATATCAATCGTTTAAATGAGGAGTTTTCTAATAAATACCTAATCAAGCTTTTCCTTCTCTCAAGCTCTGACTTAAATTGATAGGAAACAAGAGGCAATTAGTTTTGACCTTCATAAAGCATAATTTTGTTGTACAAAAGTACAGTGTATTTTTGTGCCTTAAATACAACATTTGGGGTTGTGAACACTTAGTATTGAGGATAAAAGTAATATTTTAGCTGGTAGGGAACAATATTTCAATAATTAATTCTAAGTAAATTTTAAAAATAATTTTAAAGTAACTTTCCTATCCTTATTAGTAAGAATAGTCAGTCATTGGTACTGATTTTTTCATCATGATTATCCATTTTTAATTTTAGGTTAAAAAAAAGAAAGATAACTAAAACCTATAGTTGTCTACTTCTCAAAGATAAAATGTATTTCATGGGGAATTCTTTGTAAAAGTATCTTAGCAATTCATTAAGAAAATACATGGAAAGTTCTTGTTCACTAGCTAAAAATGTTCTGCAAATTTAGGAGAGGCAACAGTTAATTACTAAGCATATTAAATTGGAGGCTTCAAAGTTTAGAATTTGTTTTTAAAGGCAGCATTTTTGTTTTACTAAAATGGCCCCTTCTTTTGCTTTTAAAATGACTAAATTTTATTTTAATATAAACGTATCAATAGTTTATATATATACGCAAGTATATGTACATACACGTTTAAATAAAAAATATATATAATGGCCAGTTTTTACTTGAAAATTGTGCTTCATTACTAACTTTTAATATACCATCTGTATGAATGCCTTAAGCTTCCCTTTATCCCACTTGGACTCTCTAAGAAATTCCTTTTCAATTTTTTTTTAATTTAATACAGTATAAGCTTTTGCAGAGTTTTTAGTTTGGAGATTTTTGTTTGTTTTTATTGGTTCTGATGTTTTAGTATTTACCTATTCATCCTCAGATTGATCCACCTACCAGTA